TACCGATCACAAAAAAAATTCAATCAAAACTAAACAAATTTACGAACTCATTCAACTTTTTCAAAACTAACTACCGATCACAAAAAAAATTCAATCAAAACTAAACAAATTTACGAACAAGCATGCCCTAAAGTAGGTAAAACTAAACAAATTTACGAACAAGCATGCCCTAAAGTAGGTATAACTTTATGATGTCGGGTTCAGCCAATCTTTAAATTAGTAAGTCAACTAATCAAACAATTTCCTCAGAAAAGATAATTCTTTTTTTTTTTTTTTGGTACAACAAAAGAAAATAATTCTTAAATTGGCTTATGTACCTTCAAAATTTTTATTTAAAAAAAAATAAAAAAATAATTATATAAGTATATTATCTTTTTTCTATCTTCCGGCAGTGACTCCCATACCGCCACCGCCCGCCATTGATTTGGATTTTAAAAATTATGCCTTATTTGAGAACTGATCTTAGGATAATTAATTGGATCTTCATAAAAAATATACTCCATATGATAGAGATCTATCAAATGAACTTGATCTAAGTGATCGATTTTTGGTCAAGGGGTCATTTTATTTAAATGATCCTTTGAATAAATTTTTTGTTTAGATAACTTATTCATTAATTTAAGGTAAATAAATAATTGAAATACCTAAAATATTTGTTGATAACCGACTTGGATCGTCTGCCTTAAAATGGTGATAATCAAGATTACTGAATAAAATCCCCCTTGTGCCAAACATCATTCACCTCGGTGTACGCTGGGCGATCAGACAGACTTCTCAGAAGATCCTTCGACAACCGAAGATTTCTCGAAGTTTCGACAGACAAACCGAGGTCTAACCTGACCGAACTTCAAAGCAGGTGACAACGTGTAATCATTGTTGTCCCCTCTTCAACTATCAAACCGCCTCCAAAAGTTGCCGCACATTAAATGCGATCATATCTACCTCGATCGTACTAAAAGTCAAATACCTGTAAATATAAATAGCAGAATTGGTTATTGTAGAGGGATCTTCTTTTCCGGAGAAAACAATTTCTAGTTACGCATAAACAAAAACAGTTCGGTTCACGTTCAAACCAACTTCCTGTACACAACAATTATTCAGAAATAACACAAAATCTTTATTTTCGTCGTTATAATTACGTCGTTTTACAGTTGTTAAATTCCATATAACAACAGTTTGGCGCTAGACAAAGAGCTCCATAAATTATTTGCAGTTATACTTCGACGTTCCACATAACAGTTGTATACGTTCATTCAACACATTAATGTCAATCGTTTCAATCTAAACATGTCGCAATCTGAACAAACTTCGAAGGTCGGACATAGCCGCGATGCTGCCCGGTCAGCTGGACGAACACGCAGTTCCGACTATTTCAGATTTCACTGTTCTTTTCCAAAATCCAGAATTTGTGAAGGGCTTTTCCGCTTTAATGACTCAAACTATACCTGGGACTTCCCATACAAATCCAGTACGACCAGCTAAGCAACCTATGCCACCCGTTCACGGTTCAACCCCACGTCGAAGCCGCAACGTGTAAATGACCAAATAAATAACTCAACCATAAAGAGTTATTAACCAAACTCTTTAGAAGACATTCATCAATTAAAGTTCGGTTAGAACATTGTAAAAAGTCGTAAAATTAATTTCACTCTTTACTTACAACATTAAACACGCTATCTAAAAGTTCTCACCAGTGTTAGCCTAAACGCTAAACGGTAAACAGTCGGCGAGGGCACGTGTAGTGTTTAGACGGTGTACACGGCGTGTACACGGGATTAAACGGATTACACGTTTTTAACTACATTAGTATTAATATTATGACTTATGAGTCAATGACATAGCCATAGCCCATACGCAAATTGCAGATAACATCAAAACAGTCAACATCACAGGTGTTTATCTTACAACACAACAGTTAGTAACACACTGCACGCATATATAGTTCTCACAAAACGGATCAATTTTTCGTTCTCCCGCCCAACCGCTTCTATTTCCAAAACGGACCGTGTAAACGGCCTAAATGGCCGTTTAGGGCGTTTAACTCGTCTAAAACGGCCGTGTAAACGGCCTAAACGGCCGTTTAGGGCGTCTACACGGCTAGCCCGTTTAATTATTATTTAACCGCTAAACTGTACACCATAGCGTCGTTTACCGTTTAAATAGCGTGTAAACGGCCTAAACGGCCGTTTAGGCGAACACTGGTTCTCACATAAATACAATTTTCTTTCCACATGTAAGGTTTCCATATATCCAATCATTGGGCTCAATAATTTTCTACTTGCCTTTTTATTTATGGGACATGAAATTAATTTTGAAACGTTAAATTTCAGTTTTACGCCATTGATGAACTTGTTTACTCTACGAAACTAATAACTCCTTTCCACGTAAGTAATTACGTGACGCCATGACATGGAATCCCCCATATTTTAAATTTGCAATTTTCATAAATTATTTAAATCAATAGAATAAAAAGGTTTTGTATAATTAAAAAAA